GAATTCATTCTCTCCGTAGGCCATGGGAGAGCCGGCCAGGGATCTGAGCAGAGTTGCTAGGACTTTCTGGGCTGGAATCAACATATCTGAGCAGCAGACCTTCAGTACCTGGAGACAGACACCTGGTTCAGAGGCAGGTGAGCACAGCGTGGCTGGGTCCGGAGAACAAAACCAGGTGGCTGGGGGAGAGCCTATGTCTACACTGCAATAAAAGACCTATGGCCCAACCCCAGCTGGCCCAGGTCAGCTGACTCAAGCTGCGGGGCTAAAAATTGCAGTGTAGACGTTTTGGGCTGGAGTCTGTGCTCTGGGGCCCTCCCCCATCGTGGGGTTTCAGAATCCAGGCTCCAGCCTGGGCCCAAACACATACACTGTGATTTTTAGCCCTGTGAGCCCAAGTCAATTGGCCCGGGCCCAGCCTTGCAGCTGTGGGTTTTTCAATGCAATGCAGACGTGTCCCCAGAGACACAGAGATGACCTGGGGCAGACAAAGGAACAGCTTGGCTCAAGGGAGGCCTGGCGCTGGTCAGCCTGAACTCGTTCTTCACTTTTTCTTCTCTGTGCCAAGCTAGGATCTCTCAGAGCCTGTGTGCCAACTGGGTAATAAACTGTCCCCTTGGCTTGAACAGGCTACCTGGTGTCACTGACGCGCTTCACTGAGCATGGTGCCCCAAAGGGCACAGCACAGGCCTCCCCCAGATTTGCTGCAGAGAGACAGGCAGGGCTGGCGCCCAAAGACCAAGTTTTGCGCCTACCCTATGTAACTGTGTGGTCCTTGGGACCCATCACACTGAAGGGGTCACTCCCAAGGGACTGGCTACAGGAGGGGCATAGGCCAGACCCTGTGGCTCTGTGACAGGGATGCCAGAGACCAGGCCCACCCGCAATGATTCACCTGCCAGAGCTCTTACTCCTCAGCTGCAGCGGGAGGAGAGGAGCATGGGTTGGGGGCGGTGCCAAGGGAGCCACCACCAGGGCTGGCTTTAGGACCTGACGGGCCCGATTCCATGGTCCGGGTCTTCGGTGGCACTTTCGCAGCGGGGGTTGGAGGGTGCTCCCTGAAGGACCCCCCACCGCCAAAGACCCTGGAGCAGACACCCCCCCACCGCCGCCAAAATGCTGCCGAAGACCCCAGAGCGGATCCCCCCCAGCCACCAAAATGCCGCCGGAGCGGACCACCGCCGGGTGAGCCTAAGGCGTGGGGCCTGATTCTGGGGAACTGGGGGACTCAGCCTAAAGCCGGCCCTGGCCACCACCCTGTCCAACACCAGTGTCTAACTGCGAAATTGAACTACCCCCAGAGACGCCCTTCAGCTGGGCTACAGCCAGGCTTCTGGGCAGGGAGGGGGACAGGGATTGGAGCACTACACTGGAGCTGGCAGAGCCATCAACACTTTCACTGCCAGCCCCCACTGACTCCCCAGCCCGGGCCAGTGCATGGTGCTCTGCCCCAGCCCCATACCTTGCGCATGATCTTGCGCCCGTAGAACAGCACTTTGTCCCGCTTGCGGAATCGATACTTGGGGGTCTCCTGAGCCTGAACCTCTGACAGAGAAAGAGGGAGACATGAAAGGTTACCAGTGCAGGGACCCCGGCGCCCCACTCCAGCAAGGGTTGGAGCCTGTCCCCTTCCCCCCCAATCTGACTCCCTGCTTGCACTCCTCATTGCAACCCACCTCCCAGCCCAGGGAGTGATGCAGAGGCCTTGGGGGTACAGATGGCAGAGTTCTGCCTGCCCTCCCCCCACTCCAGCCCCAGGAAGCTGGGCTGCCCCAAAGAACCCCAGAAGCTTTACGCCCTTCCCAACCAGTCCCTGGATACCCCCACAATCCCTTTGTATGTTGGGAAACTGAGGCACGGGGCCGTGAAGGGACTTGCCCAGGCAGTGATCAGTAGGAGAGAACCCAGGAGTCCTGGTTGCGAGCCCCCTGCTCTAGCTATTACGGTCTCACTGCCTATCCAGGCCTGCAGACACTAAGCCCAAGACGGCCTGATGGGCAGCAGCATGCCAGAGCCACGGCTGCGAAAGGGATCAGATTTGCTCCCTGCAGGGATGGGCACTTACTCTTGAGGCGCAGCCTGCGGACCAGCACCAGGATCAAGGTGGCGACGAGCAACACGGAAACACCAACGCCAATCATGACACCCAGCACCTATGGGAAGAGGCATGTTCCAGACCCGGCTTCCAGACGGGCCGTGGGTGGGTCCAAGGCAGCACCAGCCACGCTCCGGGGGACTGAACGGGGCAAGTGAGAGTAGCCCTCACCCTGCGGAGCACTTGTGTGGAGGTGGAAATTCAGGCAATATTTTTATGAGCAGTGTGCCTCAGTTTCCCTGTGGGCTTTGTCCTGCTATGCAGTGAGTGGGAAAGGGAAGGCACAAAGTGTCTGACTCACTAAGCCACCTGCCTGGAGACCAGCATCATTCACATGAACGGAACCAATCCTACTGTCAGGGTGCCACAGGATCAGTGCTAGGCCCCCAGCTTTGGGCCACTCTCTCGGAGGAACCCTTTTGATGTGGAGATCCCCAGGGGACATAGCTGGGGGGGCACGTGCAGTCATGTCCCCCCCCCCCATTTCTACCAGGTTCACCTTTACTTTGTGCCCCGACCCGAGCAACAGAAAGGCGTCACCTCTGCCTGACAGAAACCCGGGAGGGCTCAGGGCAGGGGGGATGGTCTCCGAGTCTGGCTTCCAGGGTGTGTCTCCCTCAAGCAGCTTGCCCTGCTCCAGCAGGGTGGCTCTGAGCGCTTCACAAGCCGCAGCACCCCGCTGGGAGCGAAGTGGGGATCTCCATCAGAGAGAGGAGAGGGGGAAGCCTTGGCATTTAACCTCCTGCAGCTGTGTGGGCACGTGTGCGCTATTCGCGTAGCTGAAGTTGTGTATCTTAGGTCGACACCCCACCCCCCCCCGCCCCCCATAG